AAAACAGTTTGTAACAGTCCTTGTGGTCTCTGTAGGGTTGGTAGAAAGAGATGTCTCCTTGTTCATTCCCAGTATTGCTAATGTTTGTCTTCCCTGCCCTCTCTTCCCTTTATCATTCTCTCAGTCAGTTTGCCCAGAGATTTGTCAATTTTATCGATCTTCTGAAAAAAGCCAGGTTTGGGTTTTATTAATTTTCTTTTTGTTGTTTAGCCTTTCCACATCGTTAATCTATGCACGTACCTTTACTCCCTTTCTTCGGCTGCTTGTCTTCCAGTTGTTATTCTCTTTCTAGTTTCTTTAGGGGAAAAATGCAGCTGATTGATTTATGACCTTTATTCAGTTTAAATCTAAGAATTTGATGCTATACATTTCCCTCTAGCAGTAGCTTACCTGCATCCCATCAATGTTACATGCCTCTGTAGATTCAACCAATCATGGGTTGAAAATATTCAGGAGCAGGGAAAGCAGTAAGGGGTCAAAGCCATTCCTCAAAGGTGAAGAGGGAATGTAAAGGGCTATTTACATAATATTAGGTATTATAACTTATTTGTAGGTGATTTAAAGTATATAAAAGGATATGCACAAGTTGTATGAGTCCCCAATAAAATGATTTTTTTTAAAAGCAAAGGATATGCGCAGGTTGTATGCAAATACCATGCCGTTTCCTGCATGGGACTTGAGCATTTGCTCATTGTGGCATCTTCAGGGTGTCTTCGAGCCACTTCTCTGTGGATACTGAGAGGAGATAACTATTGTATTTTCACGTTCATTAAAATAAGAATATCTCCTAATTTCCCTTGGACCTCCTCCTTAACCCACTTGTTATTTGGCCATGTGTTGCTTGATTTCCAAATATTTGTTGGATTTTCCAGCTATGTCTCTGATACTGAATTATAATTTAATACAATTGTGTTCAGAGCACATTTTATATTGGTTCAAGCCTTTATATTTACTAATGTCTGATTTATGGCTCATATATCATTTACCTCGGTGAATAGTCTTCACTCTTTTTTTTTTTTTAGAAAAAATTGTATTTTTTTTCTGTTTTGGGGTGTAGTGTTTTGAACATGTCAGTTAAATCAGGTCTATTGACGATTTTATTCACGTCTTCTATATTATTAATGACTTACTGTCTACTTGTTATATCAATTACTGAAAGATAAAGGGCTTAAAGTTTCAAGTATGATTGTGGATTCGACAATTTCTCATTTCATTTCTCTCCCCATACTGTGTTTCATAAATGTTGAAGCTCTGTTGTTAGATGCATAGGTAGATACATGTTTGGGATTGTTATATCTTCTTGCTGAATTGACTCTCTTGGTTTTCTATAATGCCTCTCTTCATTGCGGTAACATCCCTT